TGTATGAAACAAGGCCTTTCTTAGAGAAGTGCACATATTACATAGTAAAACTAAAGCCAGGGGTACTCATAAATAGAATAGATATAAATTGCTAGACAGGAACAATGAATTATATCAGTGTTGCTAATTTGATTATTATTTTTAATGTATTGTTGTTTGAGATAACCGATATTTTGTACTAATAACAAAAACATTATAAGTGAAAGTAGAAATCAATATTTTAATGATTTTATTTAGTGGGAATAACACAGAAGGAAACACTGAACAATTGTGTTCTGTTAACAGTGAAGCTGAATCAATGTGGAAAAATAAAAGGGTATAGAGTACTTATTATGGAAGACAAGAGTGTCCTTGGAAACTGAAGAATACCAAAATAATCTGCTTCTTAACTTGGCAGATGAGATGTTAAAAATAAAAGCTACCATTTATTATTGGGCACTGGTTGTGGGTGCAAGTGTTTATATGTACAACTAGAGGTCTGGTGCACAGAATTTGTGCGTGGGGATAGCGGGGGTGGTCCCTGAGCCCGGCCTGCACCCTCTTGCAATCCGGGATCGGGCCTAAACTGGCAGTTGGACATACTCTCACAATCCGGGACCACTGACTCCCAACTGCTCGCCTGTCTGCCTGCCTGCCTGATCGCCCCTAACTGCTCTGCCTGTCTGCCTGATTGCCCTTAACTGCTCACCTGCCTGCCTGATCACCCCTAACCCTCTCTGCCTTGGCCCCTGCTACCCTGGCTTAGTCCATTATGATGTCCAGAAGGTCATTTGGCTGTCTGGTCTAATTAACATATTACGCTTTTATTATTATAGATGCCTTATGCTCGTGCCAACCCCTGATGGCTTATTTTTTTATTTAAATTCTTTATTGTTGAAAGTATTACATATGCCTCCTTTTTTCCCCATTGACCTCTCCCCAGGCGCTCCCACTCCCCAGCACATGCCCTCACCCCCCTACTGTCTGTCCATCCCTGATGCCTTATTTTTATCCTCCTAAGAGGAAGTGGGGCTCACAAGGGCCAAAGTAATTTGCCTAGTGCTCTTTAGCTTGTTAGTGGCAGAGCTGGAGTTCAAGCCCAAGTTTGTCTGGCTCCTCTATCACTCTGACTCTTCAGTGTGACAGCTAGCTGGACAAGCTGAGAGAACTAGCTATATCATATTTATGATATATATTTTTTTAATGTATGTGAACCTAGGAAATAGAAATTGGCAATGTTTGCCATATCTCCAGGAATTTGTATCTCAATATCACATTAATCTGATGACTACATTTTGACCTTGAGTTCCCAAGACAAACACCTGAGCCACACATATTTTTTTAGGGTAAAACATACAAGCAGTTTTTATTCATTAATACTCATAAATGCACATAGCAGCTTCGTTAGAGATTTCAATTTTCCTCTTCAGTTGGAATGTGGAGTACTAGGAGAGCCCTTTGCATGTCAGGGTACAGGAAGCAGAGATCACCCCTGCATTGCTGCCTATATTTACCTGCTGGAAGTAAAAATTAATTAAGTGGAAATGATCGTCACATCTATTTCCTCTCTTCCTTTTGAGTGGACACAACATAACAACAGACCTGAAATTACAGTCACCAAACAAACTCAAGATAACTGTTCACTTTCATTGACAAATACAGTGCTGAGGGCATTGTCTACGAATTGGGACCTCATCAAAGAGGAAGGGGTGGAAGGTCATTTCCTTATTTCTTTCTTTTAAATTTAGGTTTTCTAAAGCCTCTAAAACACCTAAGGGAATAACATTACACAGTTCTTGGCATCAAAATGTGCCATGTCCCCCAGGTTATCCTCGTCTGAGGATGAGCTCTCTTTATCCACTAAAGTGGACAGAAGGACTGAACCAGAAATCTTAATAACAATTACAATAATACAATTTTGATTTACATAACTCCTTTCTTCCCAAGAACACCAAATTTTGTCACATCTAATTATCCTTATGGCACCTCTGTCACATGGGGATGTTTATTCTAATTTTCCCAAAGGGAATTTAGATATTTAAAAAGCGCTTAAAATAATAAAATAGCAATTTAAAGAACTATTACAGGCAAAATGGATAACAATGTTTTTATTTGAATACAGGCTGATAAGTTTAGGTATTAACTAATTTAATTAGTGCAGGTATTAACTAATTTAAGTAAATATTTTATGTTATGTCTGACTTCCAGGGATCACCTCTCAAATGAATAAGCATATTTTATGTTTGTTAATAGAAACCAATCCGGAAGCGATCATCATTTGAAAGAGAAGGATGGTGGAGAGTAGCATTAACAGTATGTACATTTTCGTTCATATTATTCTTATTCCCATTAACATTTGATTAAGTCAGTCTTACCGTTTAAATCACTAACAATTCGTAAGAAAACAGTAGGCTTTATTTCATCCTTATAATTTTAGCATCAGCATGTGAACGAGAAACTAAAATTTCAATTTAAAAGCTTGGAAAAGTAAATCAACTCTAGAAATCTATTTGTGTTACAAAATATGGAGATAAGATCCACCTAGTTTATGAACTTGGTAAGAGGACACAAGAAAGATAAGGCATACATTCCTGAGAGGTTTTGGGGTTTCAGTTCTTATCTTACTTAGCACAGAGCCTATGATAACTTTTATTAGTTAACATGGTCAGCAGCTGAAAGCAAGGTAGTAAAATGACCAGAAGATCCCCCTCTCAGGAGACGACATTTCTATATTGCAGAAATGTTTCCCATCCACACCCTGCAATAACAGAAGGGCCCCTGGGCCAAAGCCTTCTTGGAATTGAACTCATTGTAATGGTGGAACTGAGCTGAGTGCTCAGCGGAAAGATGGCCACAAAAGCAGCAGTGACTAACCCTTAAGGTTTGGCCGTGTAGCCACATTGCGGTTGGGATTTGAAAGTACCCAACCCCTTATTGGACTAATTAGACAAAATGCTCTGCCAATTCGTCCTCCGCCTCCTGTTATTATCCTGTAGCTTCCCATGTAAGGGCTAGACAGAAGCATGTAGCATCTACGAAGCAGAAGTAGGAGAACTTCTATTTAGCCGAGAAACTAAATTTCAGGTCTCACTAGAGGCCTGAAATTTATAACCAAGTTGAATCTCAAGTTTAAGTATCTGTGAAGCGACTTTTTAAGAAAAAACTTCAATGATAGCCATAACCCATTGGCTATTACTCAGCAGCTGTCTCAGAAAGGAAATAATCATGATTCTCTTAAACTATTGTTCTGCCCAGAGTGTTTACTGTATTTTAATAGAATTTTATTAAACTGTAAAACTAAGAGATGCTGCTTAGGCATGACCCTTTCAAGAATGCTGCTGTTGGAGATGTTGCTGGTTTACACACTGATGTGAAAAAACGATGTCAATTTTCCACAGAATACGCCTATCCCTGGCACTTACCACTTGAAAACGTTTATTGAAGAATCCCTATTAAATCCAGTGGCAGCAACTTACAATTTTAAAAATGAAGGAAGGAAAAAACCACCTCTTGTGCAAAGAAACAATCCAGTAGTGACGGACCTTCCCCCGTACATGCCTCCCGGCTTCTTGGACTTATTGAAGAAGCAAGCAGCCACTTACTCATTTAAAGACCAACCGCGGTCAAGCCCCAGCTCCTTGGTTTACAAAGATCAGGTAAAGCCCTACTAGCAGCTGGGTTTTTGTGGGGAAGCCTCCAAGAACCCCGAGGAAAATAGTCTATATAACTTCGAGTGTATCTCCCCAGGGACAAAGTAACAATCTTTAGGATGCCTTATTTTCTGCAGAAATCAAACAAGGGCTGCCTAATTTGCAAATATGTCCTGCAAGATTTTTGAGGCCTCCTTAACCTAAGGAGAAGACTGGGGAGGGGGGGCTGGCGGAGGATTGTTCTCTCTGGAGGGAATCTTGGCAGGATTCCCCCAACTGGGGGAGCCTCTGGGATCTTATCTGTGGTTGGCCCATGCTTCTGGTCTTTTCAAGCAGTTTACACAGTGTACTCTTTTTTTTTTTTATAAAGATTAAAAAAATATTTTTATTGATTTCAGAGAGGAAGGTAGAGGGAGAGAGAGACAGAAACATCAATGATGAGAGAGAATCATTGATTTGGCTGCCTCCTGCACCCCCCACACTGGGGATATAGCCCACAACCTGAGCATGTGCCCTGACGGGGAATCGAACCGTGACCTCCTGGTTTACAGGTCGACGCTTAACCATTGAGCCATGCCGGCCGGACTGTACTCTCTTCCTTTAAAAAGAAAACTCTGCCTTGCAGTGAGTGAGTGCCCTTATTAGAGCATGAACATAACCATATGCCACAGGGAAGTTTTTCCCAAAATTTCTTGTAGAAATGAGCACTGTGGTACCAGGAAGGTAAGATTCTACTCTCAGGTCCACCAGTTCATTCATAACATCGATAATAATTGCTATGCTTATGGCTCTGTGCCAGGCTCTGTGAATGGAAGATGTCCCTGACTTGCAAATATTTAAGTAACAATGCAAGAGCAAATATATCAAATGCTGAGATAAATCATCAGTTTCCTGATGATGATAAATAGTGTAGCAGGAAATCCCAGAGGAGAGTTCAGTGTAGGCTGGCTTGAAAAGTTGGAAGGTTCCCTGGATGAAGTAGGACTCAAACTAGACCTTGAATAATACATGGCACTTATGTGGCTCTTAATAGTTTACTGTGAACTTCTACATATATTCTATTAGCAGTTCTTCCCAGGCATTCTGAAATAGGCAGAACAGATGTTAGCTCCATTTTACATGCACATAAACTGAGGTGAATAGAGACTAAGTAACTTGTTCAGTGGCAGAGGAGTACTTTTAACTGAGGGCTTCTGATCCCCAATTTGGCACTCTT